GCTCTTCCACTTTGCCTTCTCAAGCAAACCTGTCAAGTAGGTTAGGCTGAGAGTGTGTAACTGGCCCAAGGTCAGCCAGCGGGCTCCAGTGGCAGTGTGGGGGTTCAAACCAACATCTCCTAGATTCTGGATCCAACCACTATGCAGCAATATAGCAAAACTGCCACTGATAACATACATTAAGTCAAGACAGCAGTCAAACCTTCCTCAGCAATGATTTTGCTGTCCACACAAGACGTGTCTAGTGGAAAGTACCCTTTCATGCTCCCCAGGAGGCAAGCGGTGATGATACGTGCCTCTCCCCCCCCCCCATTCTGTAGCACAGACCCCACTTCAGAAAGTACCCATGTTCTGCCTGCTGCAGGGTGCACCAAACCAAGGGAAGGTACTGTGGAGCAGTGTTCCCTCTAAGCCGATTTAGTGTGAGCTAGCTCAGTTTTTTAGCCTCCGGCTCACACATGCTTGTCTCAGCTCGGGAAGGAGGGCTCCGGAGCAAACGAATTTATGCAGTCGCCAAATCGCTCGCTCGCTCACAGCTTTACTGCCAGCAGCTCACAAAGTAGGATTTCTGCTCACAAGACTCCACAGGTTGGAAGGAACATTGCAATGTTCTCGTAAAAGTGCATTTGGCACATTGAGACGCAATCCAGTCTGTATATTTGTTCCTCCAGCACGCTCCAGGTAACGGACAGGGTTTCTCCCCCCCCCCCATATCGTGTTTTGTTGTCAACCAATCCTGTGAGGTAGGCTAGGCTGAGAGTGGTTGACTGGTCAGACGTCACTCAGTGAGCTTCACCTCCGAGTGGGGATTTAAACCCAAGTCCTCATCTGACATGCTAGCCCAAGGGTCCCCAACACGCGCCCTCGGGCACCGTGAAGTCCACTAACACCTTCCCCACCAGGTGTTTTTTGGAAAGTGGGCAGGTGGGGCTCTTGCCATTGTTGTTGTTGTTCAGTCGCACAGTCGAGTCCGACTCTTCGCGACCCCATGGACCAGATCACGCCAGGCCTTCCGGTCTTCCGCCGTCCTCTGAAGTTTGCTCAACTTCCTGTTCGTTGCATCTATGACACTGTCTGACCATCTCATCCTCTGCCGTCCCCGTCTTCTTTGACCTTCAATCTTTCCCAGCATCAGGGCCTTCTTCTCCAGTGAGTGCTCCCTTCTCATTGGGTGGCCAAAGTATTTGAGCTTCAGTTTCATTATCTGGCCTTCCAGGGAACAGTCAGGGTTGATTTATTTTAGGATTGACTGATTGGATCTCCTTGCATTCCAAGGGACTCTCAAGAGTCTTCTCCAGCACCATAGTTCAAAAGAATCTATTCTTCGGCGCTCGGCCTTCCTTATAGTCCAACTCTCGCAGCCATACATGACTACTGGGAATACCATTGCTTTGACCATGCGGACTTTTGTTGGCAGGGTGATGTCTCTACTTTTTATCATGCTGTTTAGGTGCGCCATCACTTTCCTCCCAAGGAGCAGGCGTCTTTTAATTTCATGGCTGCTGTCACTGTCTGCGGTGATCTGGGATCCCAGGAACATGAAGTCTGACACTGCTTCCACGACTTCCCCTTCTACTTGCCAAGGAGTGATGGGGCCGGATGCCAGGATCTTAGGTTTTTTTATGTTGAGCTTCAAGCCCACTTTTGCGCTCTCCTCTTTTACTCTGAGCAAGAGGCTCTTAAGGTCCTCTTGCCGTTGTAGATTTCTACACATGTTATGGTGGCAGCTGCCGCCGCAGTGCAAGGATCTTCACGGTGTGACTGAAGATCAGTTGTGGCAGCCATTTTGTGGCTGCAACTGTCCCCAGTGTTCTCTCTGAGCTGAGTTGGTGTGAACTAGCTCACAGTTTTTTAGCCTCCGGCTCACACATATTTGTCCTAGTTTAAGAAGGACGACTCCAGAGCTAACTAATTTCTGCAGCAGCCAAATCACTCGCTCGCAACTTTAATGCCAGGAGCTCACAATGTAGAATCTTTGCTCACAAGACGCCACAACTTTGAGGGAGCATTGCTCGTCACATGTCCAAATTCCAAAGGTGCTCACTGGTTTAAAAAGACTGGGGACCCCAGCTCTACCCACGGCCCTGACTCCCCAGTCTAGGTTTTGTTTTCTCATAAGCGACTAATCAGCCTGCAGTCCTTGTGTGTGGAGAAAGAGTAGTTCAGGATAGGTAGCCTTCCCCCCCCCCCCCAAAATGCCCTCCCTTTCTTTTCCTGATTGTGCTGAAATGAGAGAAAATCATTCGGGGGGGGGGGGAAACATAGAATAAACCTTAATTTTGATTCATGGCTGGCCACTGTGCATTAATTAATTTCAATATACCAAGTTCACTGCTGCAATCTCAACAGGCAATTTATATAAAGTCTACTTTTTTGGCCACGGTGCGTCTAATGATCACAGATTGCCCAATCTTTAGACCTGAACGCTTATAGAAGGAAACATATTTCCCTGGGTAAATAATCATTGTGTTGCGGCGCAGCACAAAATATTTTAAGCTTCACCTTTGGGGCCTTCAAGTAGATTACTACTTTAAGTTATTCTAGCATGAGTCACTCCTGAAACCTGCCTTCTAGAGCTGAAGGCTTGGTGGGATTTTTACTCCAACCAAAACAGATTTTTTCCAAGGACCTCTTTCTCCCATATGAAACTACGTGGTCGCTCCAGACATCTTTGCAGACTCTGTTTTGAGCGCCCCCACCGTCTGAGTCTAGACAGGTGACGACCTGTTGGGGCACCAGAATTCTGGAACATTGTCCCCAGGGAGATTAACCTGTCTCCCTCTACGGATGTCTCCTGCCAGTAGGTGAAGACTTTGGTGTAGTGGTTAAGTGCGTGGACTCTAATCTGGGAGAACCAGACCTTGGGCAAGCCATAGTTCTGACAAGAGCTGTTCTTGAAAAAGAGCAGTTTCTGTCAGAGCTCTCTCAGCCCCGCCTACCTCACGGGGGTGTCTGTTGTGGGGAGGGGAGGGGAAGGGAAAGGAGTTTGTAAGCCACTTTGAGACTCCTTCGGGTAGTGAAGGGCGGGGTATAAATCCAATCTCTTCTCTTCTGCTTCTTGTTTTGTTTGGCGTACTCTGAATAACCATTATTGGCCTTCCTCCCGTGTTCTGGTATTGTTCGTTTATGGTTTTTTAATTGAGTTAAAGTTTTAAATGTTGTTTCTCATTGTTCTGTTGTTGTAATATTTTTATGTGCACCACCTTGGGGGACCCTGATTGGGTAGAAAGGCAGCATAAAATGTTTTAAATAAGTAGTGTGCGTTGGTTCTCAAACTTTAGCGATCGAGAGACCCCTTCCTCATTTTGATTTATCTTTATTTTACATTGCAAATGCTTGAGGAGCCCCTTGTGGTCTTCCAGCCATGCTTCAGAACGCTGGCTTTGATGTGCGGAGTGCTGAGGGGCGGGGCAGGTTCCGCTGGGCTCCAGTTGGCTGTAACCGTGGAGAGGGGGGACTTTTTTCAGGGAAGGACAGGGCTGCAGGAAGTAGAGTTGCCAACCCCCTGGTCCAGCCAGGGGATCCCCCAATCTTCGGGGTTCCAGTCCGCTGCCGGCCAGCTGGCCAGTGGAGAAGCCCCGCCCCTGAAGAGGCCCATCGCATGTCGATGTGGTCGGCGCGATGACGTCACACAGAAGTGATGCCATCATGGCAGGGATGTCGCATGTTGACACTCTAGCATTTTGACAAAAAAAAACACACCCCTCTATGGTAACCATAGAGTTTCGCCCAAAATGCTAGAGCATCGATGCGCGACGTCCCCTGCGTGATGATGTCACTTCCGCGTGATGATGTCACTTCCGTGACATTGCTGCGCTGACCATGTCGCACGTAGTGATGTCGCCCCTCTGCTCCTGGACGGCCCCCTCCCACCCCTCGCCACCGGGACAATAGGAAGAACTTTTCTCCCTTTCTCACAAGACAAGAACTCGTGGGCACTCCATGAAATTGCTGAGCAGTCGGGTTAGAACAGATAAAAGGAAGTCCTTCTTCACCCAAAGAGTGATGAACACATGGATCTCACTGCCACAGGAAGTGGTGGCAGCTATAAGCAAGGGCGGCTCCAAGGGGGAATTGGAGAAGCATCTGGAGCAGAGGTCCATCAGTGGCTCTTAGCCACAAGATAGGAACTCTCAGACTGGGGCAAGTGATGCTCTGTATTCTTGGTGCTTGGGGGGGGGGGCAACAGTGGGAGGGCTTCTAGTCTCCTGGCCCCACTGGTGGACCTCCTGATGGGGTTTATGGCCACTGTGTGACACAGAGTGTTGGACTGGATGGGCCATTGGCCTGATCCGACACGGGCTCCTCTTATGTTCTTATGACCGGGCAGCCCTAGCAGGAAGGGAGCGCGTGATCCTGCCACCGACTTTTAGGTGGAATAGGTTCCTCCATGATCTGCCTCTTAAGCCGACTAACCCTGTGGCAAGTTGGAACAACTTGTTTGTGATGGCCCTTCCCCATCTCTAGACCGGGATGGTCGGCTGATACCTTCTAGGCCAGGCTTAAGGTTCCAAGGATTGTCTGAGCCGCTTTCTAGCCCCGCTCCCCACCTAGGCCTTGGCTGTAACTCCGCGCCGGAGACCCTTTCCCCCCTCTCCCCGCCTGTGGCCTGCTCCTCTTGAGCTATGTTATCATTCCATTTTTGACACCTTTTATCAAATTTTAATGAAATGACCCAGGCAAACAAATTGTCATTAAACTTTCCATCACTTTGTCCCTTGGTATTGTCTTTTATAAATTGGACAGCAAATGTTGTATTGATCTCCCCGTTCTTGCAGCTGAACTTGAAATGACCCAGGCAGCCGGTAGTTTATGGCCTGGAGTTGCATTTCCTTGACACTTCCATCCACGGCATGACACCTCTTTTGTTTTTTCTCTTTTTTTTTCCTTTCCCCTCGTGGAGATAAATGAACAAGACATACGGTATCGAGACATCCTCGGTCACGGCAACGGCGGGACGGTCTACAAGTGAGTGTTTTCCACACACCCCTTCCTTCCTGCTTCAACTTTTGGGGAAGAAAAGCCCCCCTTCCCTTACTCCATTGAAGTGTCATAAGGTTTCTCGCCCTTATTCTTCCTTTGTGAAGCGTCTGTTGTATTTAAGGTTTTTAGGAGTTGCCTTCATATATACCGTAGCTCTTGAAAAATAACCCCCTGTGCTTATATATCTTGTTTATTGGTGCTGTCAGATTCAAAAGGAGATACAGAAGGTAGCTTCCCTCGTCCAGATGAGCCATTTCTGGAGCAAGGCAGCCTGGGAAATGGGAGGGGTGAACTGAACGGCCTTGTGCGGTCCCCGTGACGAAATATCACCCTCCTCTCAAAACCTTTCGTTCATTGTCAGGCGGCAAGCTTAAGACAAACCAGAATGAAAGTTGTTTGTGGAGGGTGCTTATGGGTTCTGTTTCTACCTGATGTAGTTTATGAGCATACATAAGGATAGATAAGGAGCTGCGGTGGCTCAAGTGGTTGAGGCGCTGAACTGCAGGCTGTGGAAGGTCGGTAGTTCGGCAGTTCAAGACCTGAGTGTGCCGCATGACGGAGTGAGCTCCCATCTCTAGTTCCAGCTCCTGCCAACTTAGCAGTTCGAAAGCAAGAACTTGCAAGTAGATCAATAGGTACCGCTTCGGTGGGAAGGGAACAGCGTTCCGTGCGCCTCGGTGTTTAGTTATGCCGGCCACATGACCACGGAAACGTCTTCGGACAGCGCTGGCTCTTCAACGGAGATGAACACCGCAACCCTAGAGTCGGATTCGACTGGCTTTCGAGCAAGGGACACCTTTACCTTTATAAGGATAGAAGCCTCACACAGAGGATAAGTCGATCAGCAGCTAGATGTCACGCAGTGAGTTCCACAGGCACAATTGGCCTGCGGAACTCGTTGCCCCAGGATGGCCGTTAGCGAGGATTACGTGTCTGTGAGGCGGCTAGGTTTACTGGAAGTTTTTATATTAGCAATTCAATTCAGTTCAGTTACCTTTATCGGCATTGACATTATTATTAAAAAAGAGTAATATACAAAAGATAAGGTCAAGAACGAATACCGATCAAAGAGAAGAAAAAGTTCTAAGATAGTCTAAAATCAGTGTAAAACAGTCTCCCTTTCATATCTCCTGAAAACAAATCCTTGGCCATGTGGCGTATATCAAGTGTCGTTTTTATATTAGCAAGAAACTCTGGCTTCGTTTCTGACGCGCAGCTCTGCAGGTTCCCCAGCGCTGGGAGTTCTGTTCCACCCTCCTGTGGTGCTTGTGGATTCTCTGGGGGATCTGCTTTGTCTTCTGAGCTAAATGAATAACTGGAGCAGCCCAGAATTAACCACTTTGCGGCTAACAGCTTCCCATTCTGTCCTCATCCTCTGGGGCTGTTGATATTTCAGAGGTTTTGGCCTCTTTGGGGATGAATTTGTGGGGACCGCAGCTGTCTTATGGGATGGGCAGTAGATCAGTGGCGGGGGTTATGTGCCTTCGGTGCAGGAGGTCCCAGTGGAGAATCGGATACGGGAAGAACACCTTCCGTTGCTTGAGTCCCTGGGAAGAGGCTGCCTTTTAGTGGATGCCAGGGGTCCCCGACGTCACAGTGCCCGCCCACCCCTTTCCTCGTGCCTGCCGAGTACTTTTAGGAAGGGCTTTTGCCCAGCAAAAGGTAACAGCGTTCCGTGCGCCTTGGTGTTTAGTCATGCCGGCCACATGACCACGGAAACGTCTTCGGACAGCACTGGCTCTTCGGTTTGGAGATGAGCACCGCAACCCTAGAGTCGGATTCGACTGACTTTTACTTTTGCCCAGCACGGCTTCTGTTTGGTTGTGTAGGTTAAAAGAAATCCTGTTCAACTGAGCTTCTGCCCGAAATGCTGAACACTTACAATCAGAGTGAAATAGAAACCCAATCATTGATATTTTATGATTGGCTCCGCCTCCTGCAGCAGCCATTTTGTGTCAGAATTCTGGCCGGCTCAAAAGGGTTGGGGACCCCTGGAGTACGTAGTAATGAGCTTGCCAGGCCAGTGGTCTGACCTGGCTTAACACAGGTTCAGGTCTTTAAAAACCTGACCACTTTTGTCAACCTCTTGGCTGGAAAAGAGAAGTTTGTTGAAAGTTTGTAATATCTTGAATTAGGTTATCAGTGGATATGTACTTCAGAATCAGTGTGGGCAGCCCATCCAGTTTTTAAATATGGAGCTCTTCTGAGCTGATATGATACGCCGCTGTTCTGGAGTCTGTCTTGTCTGTCATGTACTGATAGATGAAGAGCAAGATGTTAGTCTGTCTGTAGCAGTAGAAAAAGGGGCCGCGGGGGCTCAAGTGGTTAAGACGCTGAACTGCAGACCAGACTGCTGTTGAACTGTTGCACAACTCTCATTCTGAGAGCCAGTGTGGCATAGTGGTTAGGAGTGTCATACGCTGATCTGGAGAACTGGGTTCAATTCCCCACTCCTCCTCCACATGAAGCCTTCTGGGTGACCTTGGGCCAGTCACAGTTCTCTCAGGACTCTCTCAGCCCCACGGGCCTCACAAGGTGCCTGTTGTGGGGAGAGGAAGGGAAAGGTGATTGTATGCAGGGGCAGATTCACCATGAAGCAGACTAGGCATGTGCTTAGGGCACCAGGGCCAAAGGGGGGCACCACAAAGTTGGGGGAAAGGTGACAAGCTTAGTTTGTACAGTCTATTGTGTTATCCTATGAATAAATTTTTGTATTGCTGCAACCTGCATTGTCTATCTGGTCAGACAGGTCAACAACTAAAATGGACTGGGGGTCAGTGTGGAAAGGAGGGGGGCACCAGAGCCAGTTTGGTGTCGTGGTTAAGTGGGCGGACTCTAATCTGGGGGAACCGGGTTTGATTCCCCACTCCTCCACTTGCACCTGCTGATGTGACCTTGGGTCAGTCACAAGCTCTGGCACAGCTGTCCTTGAAAAAGAGCAGTTTGTGACAGAGTTCTCTCAGCCCCACCCACCTCACAGGGTATCTGTTGTGGGGAGGGGAAGGGAAAGGAGTTTGTAAGCCGCTCTGAGACTCCAAGTGAAGGGCGGGGTATAAATCCAATCTCTTCTTCTCTTCTTCTTCTTCACCAAGATCGGTCAGGGCTTAGGGCACCAGCGAGCCTGAATCCGCCCCTGATTGTATGCCTCTTTGAGACTCCTTCAGGTAGAGAAAGGTAAAGGTTCCCTTGCTCGAAAGACAGTTGAGAGAAAAGCAAGGTATAAAAAAAACCCTGCTCTTCTTCTTCTTCTGCATCCTGCGCTCGTGGGCCAGGAAAGTGCATTGTGCTTTGTCACGACATGGAGTCATTGATACTTTAAGGCGGGGGGGGGGGGGAACTTGGGGTTTTTTTTTCAAGAGCAGCTTCTTTTCCCACCCGAGGACCCGTGATTCTCTCTCTTCATACGGAGCGTGTGGCGAAATTAAACTTCACCCGCAAGGATCTATGTAAAAACCACAGATCCACAAGCCAGATGTTTGCACTCTGCTAATGTTCAGAGGTTAAGCTAATCATGCCTTCATAGTTGGGCACAAGGTTGCAGTTCAGCCATTGGGTCTGCGGGACGAAAGAGCCACTTTTTGTGGACTCCTGGAAATCTCATCGAGAAAGTCTGGTGATTTTCCACCACGTTGGACAGGAGGCGTCCAGGATTTAATTAAAGAGCTCTGTTCATTATGGGTGAAAGATTTCTTGGAGGTGAAAGAGAAGATAACTTGGAGCTGACTTGGGAAGAAGACTTCAGGTCAGAATAGGAAAGTTACTTCTTTTTCCCTTGTATGAAATTGGTGTGGTGGTGCTTTTATTGTTTGCACCAACCTAAAAGCCCAGCGGCCAATGTTTATCAGGCCTCTGCCTGGTTCTGAATTACTCTACCCAGTGAGGTTCTGAAGGTTGTTGATGTACTGAGACATAAGCTGTTCCAGATCATATGCATTTGCCAGACAGATGACAGCTCCTAATTTATTTGTTTATTTATTTATTTATTTTATTTCACTTATACCCTGCCCTCCCCGCAAGCGGGCTCAGGGCGGCTTACATAAGCACAACTGTGCAATAAAATACAACAAGATTAGAACAGTTAAGGCACCAAGTGCAATAAAAATAGGACAAGTTAAAACAATTAAAACAAAAACTCGCATCTTGCAGGATACATTAGGAACTAAAATACTCACTCCCTATTGTATATCGCGGTGGGATCAGGAGGGGGGATGCCATGGGCCAAGATGTTCCAAGTGGCCAGTTGGCCCAACCCGGCGGTCCTGCTCTGCAGTTACTCAGTGGTGGTGGTGGTGGCGGCTCCTACTCAAAAGCCTGGCGGAAGAGCTCCGTCTTGCAGGCCCTGCGGAACTGTAAGAGGTCCCGTAATTAACAGATAAGACTGGAGCAAACTAGTTTTAGCCAGTGCTGGAGAGCTGGAGTCAGAATGACTCGGCCCAAGGTACTGATTGGCTACTGATATGTATATATGTAGTTACTGTACAGTCTATTCAGTTCCCTCTTGATATGCGGATGCTTGGCGAAGCACTTTGCTTGTTGCTTGTGTATACCAGCATCACCAACAACCTTGTAAATAAACTTGTAAATACTTTCTACGCTTAACCGTGTGGACAGTAGACTTCTTTGAACTGGACTCTCTATTGCTAGATCGGTGCAGGCATTCAACACACTATCCTAACAAAGGTGTCCGTTCCACCCACGGTAATTTGGAGCAGGAAAAAAGGAATGTTTTACAAGACAAAAAAAACTTGTCGAGTCCATAAGAACTTAATACATATCTCTCATTCTTATTCTGGAAGTGGCAGTGAAAAGGAATCCTGTTTGCGTTGGAGGTGGGGCAGGGAACTCCTCATTAGGGTCTAGCAGCTTGGGACCTCGGTCAGCTGGTTAAATCCCACACCCCCTTGGTAAAACAAGATCCCCGTGAGGCCGGTTCTGCCGCAGCAGGAACCACATCCTCCGTCCATCTCTTGTGTGTTCCACGGAAG